TAAACCTCCAACATCCTGCCCATCTGCTCCTTAAAAACTTTATTCATCATCCTCATGTAAGTAGCTCTTGCATTTTTTAACCCAAACGTCATCACGTTGTAACAATGCACTGCATCCTCGGTTATAAAAGATATTTTTTCCTAGTCTTCTTTCCACATCGGTACCTGATTGTACCCGGAGTATGCATCCATAAACGACAAAACCTTGTACCCCGAGGCGCTATCCATTATATGATCAATCCTTAGAAGTGGAAAAGGGTCTTTGGGACAGACTTTATTCAAATATGTATAGTCGGTACACATCCTCCATCTACCATCTGGTTTCCTAATTAAATTTGGATTAGCCGGCTATGTTACGTACTCTATCTCTCTAATAAACCTGGCTTCCAACATTTCTTTTGTTTTTTCTCCAATCGTTTTCCTCCTTTCCGAGCAAAACCTCCTTTTCTTCTGAGCAACTGGCTTCGAGCCTGGTATTATTGCCAACTGATGGAAAGACAAGGCCGGATTAATCCCGGGCATGTCAGAAGGTTTCCAAGCAAACAAGTCTGCATTCTTTTTTAGCAACTCTTTCAACTCCTCTATCACCTCGTGTTCCAATTCGGAACCCACTTTTGTAATTTGCTCTTTTGATGCTCTTAACTGAACCTCCGCCATTATACCAGCGGGTTCTGGCCTTTCTCCCTTATTCTCACTTCGAGGATCCATCCCCACTATCATTACTCGTGGCTCTTCTTTCTCTTCTTTCTTACCCGCTTGCTCTTTATGATTATCCACTTGATTTCTTCTCTTCCTTTCCTTTCTCTTTCTTATTTTCTTGTGGAATCCTTAAGCTCATATTATAACAACTCCGAGCAACTACTTGGTTCTCCCTCACTGTAGCTATATTCCCGTCTTTAGCAACAAATTTCACGGCCAACTGATCTATTGACAAGAAAATTTTGAACTTCGTCATAAATGGTCTTCGTAAAATAACATTGTACGCCAACCCCAAATCCACAACTGCAAATGACAAAGTTACTGTCTTGTGCGTAGGCGCATTGCCTAATGTTAATCTCAAAAGCATGTACCCCAATGACTTTACTTTATCTCCTGTGAAAGCCAATAAGTCAGCTCCACATGGCTCTAACTGATCAGAATCTAAATCCATCCGCCTAAACGCATCCCAAATCAACATGATAGTTTGCTAATAATCCCGAAATGACCAAAGGATCATCATGCTCCGAGTCTAAGATTTCGTCATCCAAGTCTTCAAACACTATTTGCTTACCCGTTTTCCTTCTTTCTTCTTTAAAACGAGGCTTCTTGAAAATGGCCATACACATTTTTAAATGCTTTTTTCGAGCATTACTTGATTTTCCACCTCCAGCTAGCCCTCTGGCTATAGTACATATATGTCCAACCCATAGTTGTCAAAAGCGCCGATTTAGCAGCGCTACCCGTGCCATTCGCGAGTTGCGGAGGACCACCGCGTCCAACTGCACCGCATCGCACTAGTCACAGCTTGCGTTTGAAGCGGCTGCAATAGCGGTTAAAATGGCGTCTGAAGCGGTGAAAAAGCGTTGAAAATTGCGGATGAAAAACTACGAAGAAGAAAGCTGAAAAGCAAATGTATTACAGTGCAATGGTGGGGGATGTATGAAACACAAACAAAAGCACTGAAAAAAATTGCCATTAAAGTATTAAGTCTGACTTGCAGCTCTTCGAGATGTGAGCGCAATTGGAGTATATTTGAGCATGTAAGTACATGCTCAGTGATTTTATTTATAGAGCTTCATAATTGATTGTGAAACTAAAATATTTTATTGTTAATTATCAAATAGATTCATTCCAAGAGGCGAAGTAGACTTGAGCAGCAGAAATTGGAGGACTTGGTTTATATTAAATATAACCAAACTCTTAAATATCGATTTGACAATCGTGATCTGATTGATCCCATTCTCCTGAATGGTATAGATGAAAGCAATGAATGGTTGGTAGGAGATATGGGTAGTGAAGGGGAACAAAATGAGAATGAACTTGTATTTGAGAATGATACCATCACTTGGGGTAACGTTGCAGATGTAACTAATGCTTATGAGCCTTTAATTTACACTAGACAACAGACAAAGTCCATTGCTTTGCCTTCAAGCTCTAAGGGAAAGGAAATTAAAGAAACTGAAGGACTTGAAGATGTGCCAGAACAACTGTACAATATAGATACTAGTGACAGTGAGGCGGAAGAAGACTTTGGTGATGGTGGAATTCAAGATTCTGATTAGTTTTTTTTGACATTTAAATATGGAAACAAAATGGAATATGTTTTTGATCTTTTAATTGACTACTTGGAATTTTTATTTATTTTGGAGCAATTCTTTATTATTATTGATTGTTTTTACTTTTTAGCATATATATCTGTGTGTGTGTGTGTGATATATCTAGGTTCTATTAGCCCATTCCGCTATTTCCGCTACCGCAACCCGCTATAGCGTTTTTCAGGGTCGGCCGCAACAGGCCGCAATTCGCTTTCAACTACTATAGTCCAACCTGTACTTGACTAGGTGATGTCTGTGCTTCCACTTTTTGATCCCTATTCGCTTCTTTACCCCTTCCTCCTGGCGGGCTGCGACTTCGATCTGGTCGCTTGTATTGATTGTGTCTTTCTCTACATCCTTCTCCTTCACCCCTTCTTACATACTTATGCAACTTTCCCTCCTTAATCAACCGCTCAATAACATTCTGCAGATTAAAACAATCATTTGTGAAATGTCCATACCCCCTATGAAACTCGCACCATTTTGTTTTGTCTGTTTGTGCATAACTCGACCTAATAGGTGGTGGTCTAGGAACATTTCTCATCTCTGTAGTCATCACCTCCTTCAGTATTTGTGCTCTAGAAGTATTCAACGGAGTAAACTTCTTTCTGTATGCTTCCCGGAACCTTTCTCCGACTAAGCGAGGCTTCCTCTCTTCAAACTGTCCTCTACCCGCAGGTCTATATGGCCTCCTATTTTGCGTAGCTTCCTTGAAACCCTGTTCAATTTCTTTTTGAGAGGTTTTAAATTTCTCCAGTTCAATGTACTTCCGAGTTCTTTCTAACAACTCCTCTTTAGTGGCCGGTCTCTTCTTTGCTAACGAGTTCGCCAACCCTCCTGGTTGTAGCCCAGTGGTGAATAACAACAAATATTTTTGATTTTCCAACCCCTTGACTTGCCTGACGTCTGCCTGTAAATGCTCGTAATATTCTCTCAACTTCTCGCCAGGCTTCTGTCTTACTCCACATAAGTTATGCGTAGTTTTAGGTTGTGGCCCACAGTGAGCAAATTGCCGCGTAAACCGTGATTACAACTCTGTCCAACTGTCAATAGAATTTTTCGGCAGCGCTGTGAACCATTCCAACACTTGTTTTCTCTGAAACATCGGAAACGTTCTACACAAAAGAGAATCTGATATAGTAGAGAGAATATATCTCTAGCAGACACAAAATATGTGAGAGCCACTTGTATTTTTTCTCTTTCATTTTTTTCGTGGGTCCCACACTTATTTTTGCGTATTGCTAGAGATATATTTTCTCTCCTATAATAGAAGAAAAATATATCCCTATAAACTAAGTATAAAATTTACATTTCATAAAACTTATAAAATTACGTCCATATAAGTTGATCATTCCCTATATTAAAAAATATTATTAGTATATGTTTGAGTTGTTTCTTTTTAATCTTAATTTTATTAAAAATAATGAAACGAAATATGCTGTTTACGGTTATACCATACCAAAAAAAAAAAAACACGGTTATATCATATATATAATTGAGATAGTTTTGTGTTGTATAATATGAAGAAAGAGTAAGTTTTATTGTTCTATAGCACTAACTAAGAAACAGTCGCAGATCCAAGAATTTTTATGATAGAGGAAAAAATAAAAAATATTATATTATAAATAAAAATATTTACAATACAATACATAACTAATGTAAATTTTTTTAGATATTTATTACATAAATTATGATCACTTCTCTTAATTTTAACTCTACATGTTTTTTTTCATATTGTTAAAGAATTCATTTTCAAGATATATAATCAAAGAATTATCAAGAAATTGACCTCTACTTTCCAATAAAAATAATTAAACAACTAAAGAAAAACAAATTAAAAAAATAAGTTCCACACATAAACACGTCCAAAATGCATGCAACACCCATTAATCAAATAATTATTTTTTTAATAGAAAATTTTAAAATAGGCAATTTTGTCAATTATCAACTACGAAAACTTTGAGAATTGATGATGAACAGTTCATGATTTGGAATGGATAAGAAATTGAGAAGGTGACAAAAAAAGTAGCGAAATTTGATAAAGGAGAGAAGATAAGTGGTGGCAAAGGAATTTGTGTTAAGAAACATGTATTTGACAAGTAAGAATTATGAAAAATTCAAAAAATTATAAAAAATTATTTAATTAAAAATAACAAGATATTATTTTATTAAAAAAACATTACTTTATTAAAAATATAAAATATTATTTATTTAAAAAATAAAAATCAGGTTTGGAAGCTTAGAGACCCGGCGTGCTAAAAGAGACATATAACCCATTTTACATCCCTACGTAGTTAAAGGGATATGATTTTCTTTTAGGTGTTTTTATTTTTTAATTTTAGAAAATTTATTTTTAAGATAAATAATTCACTAGTATTATAAAAATATTATTTTGTATATATAAATTTAGCGAAAATATTTATAATTTTAAATGACATAACTTTGTCTCATTTTTTGATGAAGTTACATCATTTTGATGTATTTTTGATATTATTTTACATTTTTCTTTTTTATAAAATTATGAAAAAAGAAAGTGGATGAAAGAAAATACAAAAATACACAAAGTAACTTAATTTTGTTAAAAATGATACGAAATTTTGTACAAATACTTTTTCTTATAATTTGTTATTATTATTATTATTATTATTATTATTTAAAATTTAGGAGGTGGAGGTCCACCGTGTCGTTGGTTACCTTAGCCGACATTTGCACTCGCAGGTGCAAGCCACTCTGTTGAAGTTCGAACGAAGTTGAAGATGGCACAGTTCCTATGTTCTGTCCTACTTATGACTCTGAGTCTCTGACCATATGACTCTTTGTTTTCGCCACCAACTAGACATTAGACAAAGCAAGTAAAGAAAGAAAACCTCAATTCTCACAGGTTCCACTCTCTCTTCTCTTCTGTTGTGTTCTACTTTCTATTGAATTTTTTCCATTATTATTTTAAATGAACGCCATTTTCTCTCTTTCTTTCTGCTGTTGCATATTATGCGCATCCCTGGATCTGGAAACTCACGGTTTCCCCCTTCATACATAAATTATCCTCAATTAACTGATTCTTAGGGTTTCTAAAGTTTCCCCGAGCTAGTTTAACAAAAACAGTTATGTTTTTTTTTTTTTCGCATTCTGGTGCGGTGTAAGTTAAGTGGAACTATTTACAGATAAATAAATCCTTGTTTTTCTTGTGTTACTGCTTCTGCCTCTTCCACGTTTCGTTTTCCGGTGTGTAGTATATATCATCACCTCACTATAAAACTCTGTTAATTATGTTGTCCTGGTTTCTTGGGGTATCATAATAGTAAACAAATTTCTTTCTTTCTTTCTTTGTCCTTTTCGATTTATAATATTGATTGATAGAAGAGGTGAATTCCTTCAGATTTTATTTCTTGATGGATCCTCATTTAAAGTCCAATTTCGTCAACGGATTTAAAGTCGACCAAGTGCCTATTATGCTCAATGTAGAGGATCAGTGCCTTGACCCTGTAAATGGGATGAGATCCATCGACCCGTTTCTTCTTCCACCTGATCCAAACAATGCTCAAATTCCTGTATCCCTCTCCACCATTACTACGGAAGAAGACTCTTCCTTGGATGAGACTGATTTCTCTGCTACCGTCCTACGCTACATAAACCAAATGCTTATGGAAGAGGACCTGGAGGAGAAGCCCTGCATGTTTCATGATTCTTTGTCTCTTCAAGCTGCTGAGAAATCATTCTATGAGGTCATTGGTGAGGCATACCCTTCTTCTTCCATCCAAAACCATCACCAAGTGGAGAGCCCTGATGACATTCTCTATAGTAACTTCATCGATTTTACCACTAGTACTAGCAACACGGTTGAGTCCCATTGGAGTAACGTTGATCTTACTGCGTACAACTACAAGCCTTCTTTACTTCAAACCAATTTTCCTGCTGACTTTGTTTTCCAGACGAGTTCAACCTATTGTACCCAATCTTCTATGAATACCACTAGTAGTTTCACTGTAAACAATGGTGCATTCTCGGAAAGTTCCAAGGCTGGATTTTTAGATTCAAACTTGATTAGCAAGAGTGAGTCTATACTGCAATTTGAGAAAGGTGTGGAGGAAGTCAGTAAGTTTCTGCCTAAAGGGAATCCATTGGTTATTGACCTGGAGAACAACACTTTTAGCCCTTCTTTCAGAAAGTCTCCTCAGCAGGTTGTAATTGAGATGGGGAGAGATAAATGGGAGCATTTTTCAGCTGAGTCAAGAGGAAGGAAGAATCATGAGCGGGAGGATGAAACAGATTTACAAGATGGGAGAAGTAACAAGCACTTAGCTGTTTGCATGGATGACAATGACTTATCAGAATTATTTGATAAGGTACTGCTACCCCAGAGGTGGGGAAATGAGGCAGCTCCTGTGTGTAATTGTAAAAAAGACCAGCCTAATGGACCAAACATGAGCAAGCAGCAGAAAGAAGAAAGAAACAAGTCTGGTAGTGGAAAGAGCAATGTTAAGAAACAAGACAATAATAAGAAGGGAGTTGTGGATCTGAGGACACTATTGATTGTATGTGCACAAGCTGTTTCTTCTAATGATCGTGCAACTGCTAATGAGTTATTGAAGCAGATAAGGCAACATTCTTCCCCGCTGGGTGATGGGTCTCAGAGGCTGGCCCATTGCTTTGCAAATGCTCTTGAAGCACGCTTGGCTGGCACTGGCACTCAGATTTATAGTGCTTTATCCTCCAAAAGAACCTCTGCTGCAGACACGGTGAAAGCTTACCAAATGTATATTTCAGCCTGCCCATTCCAGAAGCTTGCAATTATTTTCGCAAACCATACAATTTTGAATCTTGCCAAGGAAGTGGAAACTCTTCATATTGTAGATTTTGGCATCCGTTATGGCTTCCAGTGGCCTGCACTTATTTATCGTCTATCAAAACGACCTGGTGGACCTCCCAAGCTGCGCATGACAGGGATAGAGCTCCCTCAACCTGGTTTCAGGCCAGCAGAGAGAGTACAAGAGACAGGCCTTCGCCTGGCAAGGTATTGTGATCGATTTAATGTTCCATTTGAGTTCAATGCTATTGCACAGAAATGGGAAACCATCAAAATTGAGGACTTGAAGATAAAGAAAAATGAACTTGTTGCAGTGAATTGTTTGGTTCGATTTAAGAATCTACTTGATGAGACAGTAGTGTGGAATAGTCCCAAGTATGCTGTTTTAAATTTAATTAGGAAGGCAAATCCCACTATCTTTATACATACAAGTGTCAATGGGAGCTATAATGTCCCATTCTTTGTGACACGGTTCCGGGAGGCTCTTTTTCATTACTTTTCATTGTTTGATGTGCTTGACACCAATGTTGCTCGCGAAGATCCCATGAGGTTGATGTTTGAGGAGGAGTTCTTTGGTAGGGAGGTAATGAATATTATAGCTTGCGAGGGTTCTAATAGGGTTGAGAGGCCCGAGACATACAAGCAATGGCAAGTTCGGAACATGAGGGCTGGGTTTAGGCAACTTCCTTTGGATCAACATCTCATAAACAAATTAAGACGCAGGTTGAGAGATAAGTACCACAATTATTTCATGCTAGATGAAGATGGCAACTGCATGCTGCAAGGTTGGAAGGGCCGAATTATTTATGCTTCCTCCTGTTGGGTACCAGCATAGCCCTTGACAATGTTCTTCCCTGGGTGGTTAGTAGAAGCGTTTCATGAGTTTGTAGAAGATGGTCCACTCAGAAATCTGGCAAACATAACTTGGCTTCCCAAAAGTCCTATGGTTAACATCTAGCACTGTTCAGTTTCAGTACCCAACATATTTTTTATTTATTTGTATGTTAATAATATAACTAATGTCATGTGTATGACATACTTAGATTCATACTAGTTGAACTCTTTCTTCCTGTGTTAGGTAGTCTAAGGCTAAGGAGCAGAACCCTGGAATATTGAGATTTTCAGTAAAAAATTGAGCTACCATGGTATAGGTCCTACGAAAATAGGAAGCATTCTGAACCCATAACACTTTTTGGATACACATCGTTCTGGTGAGGAACACGGAAGAGATTTTTTTATTGTATTTTTATTTTTATTTTTTATGAAAACACATGATTGAATATTTGAATGATTATGACTTGCTTTCGTTTTATATAAGTGTAGGGAACGGGTAATAGACTAATAGGTTAAAGTACAGGCAGAGTCTTGACTGAAATTTGTTTTTTGAATTAATTATTATAAGAAAGATTTAGTTTGACTTTAGACCATTTGGATTAATATAATTTTTCTCTTATAATACAGACGAAGAACACAAATTGTGATTATTGGTCGATATTAGTTGGTCTGTTCGCTTTGTTTATGTTATTCACATTACTTAATTTGTTTATTTTGTATGAAATAATAAACGGAATTATAGTTCTCCTGCTGCGGTAGATTATCTCTTTGTCTCGCAGACTCTTCGAAAAGCGTAATTTCAATTTATTTTATTTTATAAATTATGGCCCCACCCCCTTGTGTCTGTGACAGCAGAAATTTTTTTTGCTGTCACAGGAGAACCGACAATTCCAATAATAAAATAGTGAAAAGATTTGTTTACAAACTTTTTTAGAAATTACACTATATATGACCGGTCATACATTTGATTGTATGACCGGTCATACTTAGTGTAGTTTGTAAGAGTTTATAAATATAACTTTCTCCAATAAAATATAATGATATATCACAATTGACATAAAGATGAAATAGCGTAATAAAAGTAGGAAAAAATGTGTATTATTTTGAAGAACACAAAGTTATGTCATTTTAAGTGAAAAAAAGAGATAAATCATAGGAGAGAGAATGAGTAAAAAAGTTTTAAATATGTGAGTCCCACTTTTTTATAAAAGTAAAAAGTATAAGGTGTCTCATTTAAAATCACACACATTTTTCCATAAAAGTATTAGAAATAGATCTAAATAATATTGGATTTAAGATGTAGAGGTTCTCTTTTTCTTCTTCTTAATTTATCCATTACATGATATATATATATATATATATATATATATATATATATATATATATATATAGTTTACATTTATGCAGATGCTGTATGTGCAGCAATCAAATTCTTTTCATATATGTACTTGAAATCATTAAATGCGAGGAATCATAACCATACAAAAGATGAAAGCATTAAATGTGGAGAATACCTTGTGGTCATTTAATGGTGAAAAATAGACAATTCAAACATATCTGAAAAACGGGGACCTGGCTTGCTCTTCACGACGTGCAACAAACCAAACAAATTTCTTTTAATATACTGATTAATAATAGGGTTTTATAAGAGTTATGTTGTAGGAAAAGTGATTGTGTAATGTTATAAAGATTCGTTTTGCGTGCCGTAATTTTCTTTTTTCTTCGAAAAGTGTGAGCCCCACAAAATATTGTGTGTGTAGGAAAGTTTGTTCTATCATGTTAAATGACAAATGCAAACCCCTTAATAATATTAGAATTGTCAAAGATAAATTAATTATATAAAGAGATAATGGACCCTCGTGCAAGATGAGATATTAATCTCCTATTATACACACAATCTTAGAGTGTCCCATACTAAAAAAAAATAAGAAAAAAGAATGAAGGCTCAAATACTGAAGCAGTCAGTCTGAAACAAAGCTCTACAGGTGTGTGACATAAGAAATATTTTTCATATGTAATATGAGAAAAGCATTGCCCTTATATAAATTAGGGATTAACATTTTCTATGGTGTGAGGGCTTTTTGACCATTGTAGCCTTTAACTAAAAAAAAATTATCATCTTGCCCTCGTTTATAAATTATTTCAAAAATTTAACATTCTCAACAAACATAACATCAATCTATCCCTGTTTGACCGTTGACCACCCAGTTACCTGGTTAGAAAATTATTTATTCGGGTACACACCCGGTTACCATGGTACATATCCTTATTTATCCTGGTACACACCCGATTACCTTGGTACATATCCTTATTTACCCTGATACACACCCAGTTATCCTGGTACATGTCCTTATTTACCCTGGTACACACACAGTTACTCTGATATATATCCTTATTTTTTAAGCCCAACCGTGAATCCAACTCAAATCCATCAATGAAGAAAACGTGGTTAAATGTGTTTATAATTTGTATGGAAAATTTGTCAAGAAAACATTCCCTTTAGCTAGAGCGAGTGTTAGTGAGGTATGCACATTGAGTCCCTCGTCTATAAGGCATAAAGACATCATTGCATATCCATAATTTTTTGTGAATAAGAGTGAAATTATGTATATATTTTAAAATTAATGTGAAGTAAGATGAAATTTTTGTAAAAGCTTTAACATTAACTTGTTAAAATAAAAAATATAATTTTTGAAATTTTCAAAATGATGGGGTTAACACGGTTTTTTTTGTAATTTGGTTATGTGAAATGGCCATTGGATTGTACATTCATATATGTTTTACATGTTTTTTGTCTTTTGGTTCTACGAGGTTCCTATTATTACTTTACAGTTTATTGTTTGTCTTTTGAGTTGGATTCACGGTTGGGCTTGGAAAATAAGGATATGTATCAGAGGAACTGGGTGTGTACCATGACAAATAAGGATATGTACCAGGGTAACCGGGTGGGTACCCAAGTAAATAATTTTCTACCCGGGTAGCCGGGTGATCTACCCGGGTAACTGTGTGGTCAACGGTCAAACATGGTTAGATTGATGTTATGTTTGTTGAGAAGGTTAAATTTTTGAAATAGTTTATAAACGAGGGCAAGATGATAATTTTTTATTAGTTAAATGCTACAATGGTCAAAAAGTTATGATGTGAGAGATAATATCTCTCATTGTGAGGGTGTAAATGAGTCAGCCGGCCTAACAGGGACCTACGGCTCAACCTATATCAATTCATGCTCGACTTATTCTATATAGATAAATAGACGGGCTCAGGCTTAAAAATACCTATTTAGAAAATAAACCATAGACTTTCTTTTACATGCTGGGCCTATAAGTCTATAGGTCGGCCTATATTATATTATTTATGTCGAATAAAATAAATAAATTATTTTAATAATTTTGAATAATAAAGTAATATTATTTTAGTTATTTTTGTAATTATTGAAAGCCTAATAGGCTTAAACATGCTTAGAGGCATATGCCAAACTTTTATTTTTTAAATATAGGTCAGACCAGACAGACTTATAATTTGAGTCTGCACAGGCTAAAAGACTAGGTCAAACTTAAAGTATTGTACATAGGCCTGACCTATTTAAATCAAAGTCTAGCCTAGCCAAGCTTATTTACACTCCTATCTTCCACACTCGAAAATGTGTAAGTTCCATATAGGGTCATGTAAGAAGAAAATAGATAAACGAAAAAATTAAGCCCATCCTATTAGAGATAATTTTATTTTTTAAAATTAAAAAATTTTACACCCATAAATTAGCTAGTAACACATATTAATGTACGATTTATTTTGAGTTTAAAAGTGTATTTGAAGTAATTAATATAAATTATTGTAATTATTTGTTAATTATTTTAAATATGAAACAAATAGAAAATTGGAATTTGAATACTAATAAAAAACAAAAAATTAATAGAGAATAAATAATAAACTAATAAAAAATGTTTTTTAATAGTAAAGATAAGTGTTAGATGAACCGGAAAAAAATATAGATTATTTTACTTTCAATTATGAAGGTTGTATTTTTAATTTTTTTTTAAGAAAAAAGGCCAAAACTAAGAGCAAGACAAAACTAAGAAATCAAAACTAAACGGAGTCTACTGGGCAAAAAAATTAATTTATTGTAATTTAAATAAATAATTATAAATATATAGTTGTTTTCGTACTATTTATGGATTTATTGCAGGATGTTACGCCTATATTGGGTGTGACCACTCACTCACGCATAAGTTAGGCGTGACCCACGAGGCACTCACGCCTAAATTAGGCGTGACTCGTCTGGTGTTGACACGTGGCAAGTTAACAATTTATCATAAAATTTTGAAAGACCATAACTTTTGATTCGGGTATCCAAATCAGGTATTTTATTATTCCACATAAGTTTTTGAAATCTACGCAATGACATCTTATTTGTCATATTTTATCTCTCATAAATACAGTTTGAATTTGCAACAATGGTACTACTATAAAAGTGTCACAGTATAAAAGAGTGGGAGAGATTGGTGAGAATATAATGTTCTTTAAGTTGCATTAAAAAATGCAAAACTTTTGATTTATTACATTAAAAATATGTTCTTTATGCTGTGAAACATGCTTTAATAAGAGGGTTTGAGGTAAATTATATCATTATAAATGCCGAAAATGCATTATTATAAACATATATAGTACCTCAAACCTTCTTATCAAAGCATGTTTCAGAGCATAAAGTCCACCAGAAGAATTTAGAAGTCCCATGAAAAGCCTACATGCACCTTTTGGCATATTTTATCTTTGTGAATGATATTTAAATTTTTACTTCCCAACATTAATAAATAATTCTTCGAAAATATTCCACTGCGTAAATATCGAAAAGTTATGTGAAATAAAAAGAATAATCTGATTCGAACTTTTGAGCCAAAAAAATCACCTGTTAATTTTTGTTTTAAAAAGGGACTATCGAAACGGGACCACATTATATATGGAAAAAATGTGTATCATTTTAAAGGATACAAAATTATGTTATTTTAAGTGAGAGAAAGAGATAAATCATGGGAGAGAGTGGGGGATAAAATTTTAAAGGTATGGGTCTCACCTCTTTGTGAGAGTGAAAGGACACAAGATGTGTCATTTAAAATGACACACATTTTTCCTTTATATTATATTATTTTTTAAAAATCTTTTTTAAAAAATTACAACTCGCTCCCTAAACCCTAAAATGACACACATTTTTCCTTTGTATTATATTATTTTTTAAAAATCTTTTTTAAAAAATGACATCTCGTTCCCTAAAACCTAAACCCTAAAATGACACACACTTTTCCTTTATATTATATTTTAATAATCTTTTTTAAAAAACTACATCTCGCTCCCGCTCTCTTCCACTTTCATTGTTGTTCTCAACAAAGACAAAGAACACTCTGTCTGCGAGCTCCTATCTCTATTCAATAGATGTTTGCTTTTTGCACTTTTTTTTTTACAATTTCAAGATTTTTTAAAAGAAGATTGTGTTTGGTGTTGGTTTAAAAATAACTCAGAGGTTTCTACTTTTGAACGCTCTCTTATAGGACCATTGTTGTAAATTCGAACTGAGTTTATGAGAGATAAAACATACCAAATAAGATGTCATTGCGTAGATCTCGAAAAATTACATTGAATCAAAATTTTTTTTTTACTCGATTTGGATACCCTAGTCAAAAGTAATGGCCTTACGAATTTTTACGATTAAATTGTTAATTTTTTGTACCACGTGTCAATATCAGATGAGTCACGCTTAATTTAGGCGCGAGTACCTCGTGGATTACACCTAATCCGAACATAACATTCTGCAATAGATCCGTAAATAATATGAAAATAACTATATATTCATAATTATTTAGTTAAATTGCAATAATTTTTTTTTTCGAGTCTACTGACATACGAGATATCAACCATAAACAGAATAGAAAGCTCACGCGAAAGACTAGTGTGTTCGAGGGAAATTTTTGTGTCCTTCATTCAGGCTCGAATGTGGGAACAATGACCATTTTGCCACTGTTGGCAAAAAAAATTACCAGACTGTCACGCCAACAGTAAATTTTGCCAAAATGTCACGTGGCATATTTCGCTACACTGTGTAGCGAAATATGTCACGTTAGAACCAAAAATGCCACGTGTCAAACAGGGAGAATTTCGCTACACAGTGTAGCGAAATTCTCCCTGTTTGACAAGTGGCATTTTTGGTTTTGTGCATTCTGATGTGACATATTTTGCTACACTGTGTAGCGAATTATTTGCACACATATTTCGCTACACAGTGTAGCGAAATATGTCACGTAGCATTTTGACAAAATTTACTGTTGGTATTGCAGTCTGATAAATTTTTTTTCCAACAGTGACACTTTGATCACTATTCCCTCGAATGTGTGTTAATATAATGAGACTCTCGAGTAGTATTACCACCATTGGTATGTGATCTAATTATAGTCTATTAATCACTTTCGATGATGACTCGAAGAATTCCTTAATACTCCATAATTCCACCATGTACGCATTGCACCTGTCAATTTGGGAATTAAAAACCTCCTAGCAATGTAACAAAAAAAAAAAGGAACACTCCTAGCCAAATGTCTTGCGAATCATGGCAGATACCTACACGGCTACGCATGAAACCGGCCAGGAGAGCCTCTGGGCTGCGTGCGCCATCGATGTTATTCTTCACCCATCTCTTGTCTTGGGGTGCCACTTCGTATGTATTTCCGCTCGAGTATGCTTGGCCTTTTGATGAGTCCCTTCCTAAAAGGGTGTTCATCAACCGATCCAAACCGATTCAAACTGCGGTGACTGAATCGAAAAATTAATAATCGAAAAAATCGAAAACAAAAAAAAATTCGCAAATTTTAATTGGATTGGATCGGTTTTTGGATGAGTTAATGAGAACCGATCCAATCCAAACCGATCAAATATATTAATTTCCCTCTACCTGGATCTTTTTTCAATCATAGTCCAAAAATTTCTAAACCGAAGAAAAAATCTAATCACATCTCATCAACAAAATTTTATCTTTGTAGAGCTTCATATTTCATTGCCAAAAAAAACTATATTATAGTTTACTAATGCTTTATATTTCAAAAAAAAAAAAATTACAAAGCCAATATATATAAAAGATATTATTTGCACAATAATCATGAAATAAATTTTAGGATTTTCAAAAAATCAAAAATCTATCTAATCCAAACCGAAAAAAATTGGTTTGGATCGGATCGGATTTGAAAAAAAATCCAAACCGAATGGATGATTATATGATCAAACCAAAGAGATCGGATCAGATGATTTTTGCTTCCAAAACCGATCCAATCCAGACTGCGACCACCTTATTAAAAGCGGCCTCTATATCTTGCGACAAACCGCAATTGCTATAGAAAACAATGCGCTAAATATGTATGATCACATAGTCCATGTGTTATTTTACTATATAATAATAAATTTAAGTTATTTATAATCAATTATGATACAAATTTAATTTAATAATCAATTTTTATTGAATTTTGAATATCTTTGAATTCAAAAAACATAGCATATTCATTAATCGTGATCCGGATAAATTACAATAAGTCCAAAAATCAAGGAATAGGTCCAAGAACATACAGCGCCCATGAAACGCACAGTATCACCATCGCGCAAAGGACCAGAAGGCGCAGTAGCTTCATTGCGCTTAAACCGACCTTATATGACTTGAAAGCTAAGGAAAGACTCTATAAACTGACAAAGATTCATCAATACATTAAAGATAGCTCCGGCTTGTCATCGTCCTAAGATGGCAGCCTGACATATAGATGCATAGCCAGAAAGGCACCAGCTGAGAACATATAAAACTGCAGCTTATAAGCGACCAATCAGAAGATATACCGCCTACCAAAGGCGGCATCAAACTCACTATATAAACAAATGGTACATACCCAGGTACAATAATCTAATTCCAATAAGAATATAATCTAAGCATAGCTTTGATACTGACTTGAGCGTTGGAGTGTCATTGCAGGTACTCCAGCCAGAGTCATCGCGCCAAGAGAGATCAACATCAATTCACCACATAGCAGCCATCTCCCGTCCAAGAAGCATATTACCCAACTTAAAGCTTTCACTCTTTAACCGTGTGTGATTAGGCTTGTACATATTGTACTGGATCGATCAAATCGTAAAATGAATAAATAACTTTTATATTTATATTTTATGTAATAAGTATCATGAAATATTGATGAATTAGAGAGAAAGAGAAAACAAATAGAAAAAAAAACATTAAAAAATGCAAAAAAACTCATTTAAAATAATTTTAGCTTTTAAATGAATAAAAGCGTTTCATCATCTAACGTCAAATGTATGGTGTGGTGACGTTGCCGAACTAAAAGGGATCACATTATACTTAAATATCTATCATTTTAAAGTAGAATAAATTATAATTTTTGAATGTTACGCGCTCCTCGTAGGACATTATTATATCGTATCATAGTGTTCATAAGTTGGATACATCATACAACCGTGCCTTCTCAAAATTTTGACCAGCAGGTTCCTTATTCGAAGATTCCCGGGGTTGCATCATATTGTATCATTAATATACTATTAGTCAAAGGGCCTGCTCTATAACAGTAACAAAATCTTACCATCTCTTACCTTCATTCTTCATTTTTCTTTGTTTCTTTCTGGACTTCTATGGAACTCTTGCCTTGAAACTTGCAATAATTCCTTGGTAAGTTCAATTCAAATCCTTTTTATAGAACCAAATCATATTAATTTATTATTTGTGTTGTATAATTTTTTTCTTTGTGCATAGAAAAAGCGGTTTGGGTGATTGTTTGTGAAAAAAGAGAGGAAGATGGATCCAAACTTTCAGGGAGCTATTAGGAAGTATTTTTTTTTTAATGTGACGGCAGTTTACCAAAAAAATAAAATAAAAAAAAGTGACGGCAGTTTTTTAATTCAAAAGCGGTGATGAATTTTTTTAATAATTTTCTAATATACTTTTTTATATAAATATTTTTGGATTTAAAATATAAATATTATACAGGCTTAATCTTTAGTTTACTTTATATTTTACTTAATTTCACTATAAAGTGAGTGGCTGTGAGAATCGAATTCGTAATATCATGGTCAGTGCACTTATGATATCATGTAAATAATCAATTCAAACAAAAAGTTTAAATTGATGAACGGAGACTTTTTTTTATAATTTATATTATTTTTTAACACACCAATTTCAAAAATATGTACCGAAATGCCATGGGGTCAAAAAGTTTGCCAAAATATCACAATGGCAAACAATGTGATAAGTGAAAGCGGAATTCAAATGCCGTCAGTTTACCAAAAAAAAAACTGCCGTCACAACATGGTCAATGTGCCAACGATATATGCTGTTAAAACACACGGTAATATCATATGTATAATTGAGATAGTTTATTTTGTATAATAAGAAGGAACTTTTTCTTGTTCGGAAGCACTAACTGAGAAACTCTGGCTGATATCGTTGGTTACCTTAGCTGACATATGCATTCGCAGGTGCAGCCGACTCAGTTGAAGTTCGAACGAAGTTGAAGATGGGACAGTTCCTATGTTCTGTCCTACTTACGACTCTGACCATATGACTCTGTGTTTTCGCCACCAACTAGACATTAGACAACGCAATTAAAGAAAGAAAAACTCATTTCTCAAAGGTTCCATTCCACTCTCTATTGTCTTCTGTTATTGAATTTTTCCCATAATTATTTAAATGAACGACATTTTTTCTTTCTTTCTTTTTTCTGCTGTTGCTATTATGCGCATCCCTGGATCTTCATGTTTCTTCTTTATTTCCTTCAGGAATGGAAACTCACGGTTTCCCCCTTCATACATAAATTATCCTCAATTAACTGATTCTTAGGGTTTCTAAAGTTCCCCCAAGCTAGTTTAACATAAACAGTTCCCCCAAGTTAAGTGGAACTGTTTACAGATAAATAAATCCTAGTTTTTCTTGTGTTACTGCTTCTGCCTCTTCCACGTTTCGTTTTCCAGTGTGTAGTATCTATAATCACCTCACTATAGAACTCTGTTAATTATGTTGTTCTCATTTCTTGGGGTATCATAATAGTAAACAAATTTCTTTCTTTCTTTGTCCTTTTTAATTTATAATATTGATTGATAGAAGAGGTGAATTCCTTCAGATTTTATTTCTTGATGGATCCTCATTTCAAGTTCAATTTCGTCAACGGATTTAAAGTCAACCAAGTGCCTATTATGCTCAATGTAGGGGATCAGTGCCTTGACCCTGTAAATGGGATGAGATCCATCCACTCTGGATTCATGGATAACCGGTTTCGTCTTCCACCTGATCCAAACGATGCTCAAATTCCTGATTCCCTCTCCACCATTACTACGGAAGAAGACTCTGATCCCTTGGATGAGACTGATTTCTCTGCTACCGTCCTACGCTACATAAACCAAATGCTTATGGAAGAGGACCTGGAGGAGAAGCCCTGCATGTTTCATGATTCTTTGGCTCTTCAAGCCGCTGAGAAATCATTCTATGAGGTCATTGGTGAGGCATACCCTTCTTCTTCCATCCAAAACCATCTCCAATTGGAGAGCCCTGATGACAGTCTCTATAGTAACTTCATCGATTTTAGCAGTTGCAGTACCACTAGCACTAGCAACATGGTTGAGCCCCATTGGAGTAACGTTGATCTTACGGCGTACAACTACAAGCCTTCTTTACTTCAAACCAATCTTCCTGCTGACTTTGTTTTCCAGGCGAGTTCAACCTTTTGTACCCAATCTTCTATGAATAGCACTAGTAGCTTCACTGTAAACAATGGTGCATTCTCGGAAAGTCCCAAGGCTGGATTTCTAGATTCAAACTTGATTAGCAAGAGTGAGTCTATACTGCAATTTGAGAAAGGTGTGGAGGAAGTCAGTAAGTTTCTGCCTAAAGGGAATCCATTGGTTATTGACCTGGAGAACAGCACTTTTAGCCCTTCTTTCAGAAAGTCTCCTCAGCAGGTTGTAATTGAGACGGAGAGAGATAAATGGGAGAATCATGAGCGGGTGGATGAAACAGATTTACAAGATGGGAGAAGTAACAAGCACTCAGCTGTTTGCATGGATGACAATGAGTTATCAGAATTATTTGATAAGGTACTGCTACCCAAGAGTTGGGGAAATGAGGCAGCTCCTGTGTGTACTTATAAAAAAGGCCAGCCTAATGGACCAAACATGAGCAGGCAGCAGAAAGAAGAAAAAAACAAGTCTGTTAGTGGAAAGAGCCATGTTAAGAAACAAGACAATAATAAGAAGGGAGTTGTGGATCTGAGGACACTATTGATTGTATGTGCACAAGCTGTTTCTTCTAATGATCGTGCAACTGCTAATGAGTTATTGAAGCAGATAAGGCAACATTCTTCCCCGCTGGGTGATGGGTCTCAGAGGCTGGCCCATTGCTTTGCAAATGCTCTTGAAGCACGCTTGGCTGGCACTGGCACTCAGATTTATACTGCTTTATCCTCCAAAAGAACCTCTGCTGCAGACATGGTGAAAGCTGGCCAAATGTATATTTCTGTCTGCCCATTTCAGAAGCTTGCAACAATTTTTGCAAACCATGCATTTTTGAATCTTGCCAAGGAAGTGGAAACTCTTCATATTGTAGATTTTGGCATCCGTTATGGCTTCCATTGGCCTTCACTTATTTATGAACTATCAAAACGACCTGGTGGACCTCCCAAGCTGCGCATGACAGGGATAGAGCTCCCTCAACCTGGTTTCAGGCCAGCAGAGAGAGTCCAGGAGACAGGGCTACGCCTGGCAAGGTATTGTGATCGATTTAATGTTCCATTTGAGTTCAATGCTATTGCAAAGAAATGGGAAACCATCAGAATTGAGGACTTGAAGATAAAGAAAAATGAACTTGTTGCAGTGAATTGTTTGGTTCGATTTAAGAATCTACTTGATGAGACTGTTGTGTTGAATAGTCCCAAGGATGCTGTTTTAAATTTAATTAGGAAGGCAAATCCCGCTATCTTTATACATACTACGATCAATGGGAGCTATAATGTCCCATTCTTTGTGACACGGTTCCGGCAGGCTCTTTTTCATTACTTTTCTTTGTTTGATGTGCTTGACACCAATGTTGCTCGCGAAGATCCCATGAGGTTGATGATTGAGGAGGAGTTATTTGGGAGAGAGGTAATGAATATTATAGCTTGTGAGGGTTCTAAGAGGGTTGAGAGGCCCGAGACATACAAGCAATGGCAAGGTCGGAACATGAGGGCTGGGTTTAGGCAACTTCCTTTGGATCAAGAGCTCATTAACTTATTAAGGGCTGGGTTGAGAGAAGAGTACCACAGTGATTTCATGCTAGATGAAGATGGCAACTGCATGCTGCAAGGTTGGAAGGGCCGAACAATTTATGCTTCCTCCTGTTGGGTACCAGCATAGCCCTTGACAATGTTCTTCCCAGGGTAGTTAGTAAAAGCGTTTCCTGAGTTTGTTGGAGAGAGATGGTCCACTCAGGAATCTGGCAAACATAATGTGGACTGCTTAAAAGTCCTATGGTTAACATAGAGCACGGTTCAGTTTCAGTATCCCGCATATTTTTTATTCTGTTGTGTGTATAATATAACTAATGTGTATGACATACTTAAGATGCATATTAGTTGAATTCTTCCTTCTTGTGCTAGGCAGTCATAAGCAGTGGTAAATCTAACCAGTGCTAATCACTGTAATGCTTGGAGCGTCAATCCGCTTAATATTATACAACAATGAATAAACCAGATCGCTTTGCTGGAACTGTGGAAAGCATAGTATTTAAACTCATCAACCTAAAAGAGATACTGCAAAATATGTGGGGTCTATAACACTACAGAGTCGATGTCATGTTTAACGGAGGGGTTAGGAATTTAGGATGGTGGTTGTTCCTTTAAATTTATAAAAAAAATAAATTATGTGTGCTATTTATGTTATTTTTTATCATATAAATAATGATTATCCCCTTTAAGTTCACGTAAATTTTTAGTTATGAACATGTTTATTTTTATTTTCACATAAATTATTATAATTTATAAAGAATACTACACTCAACAAATTCCCTCCTGTTCTGCCTGAGGCAGAGATGTCTAACTCGGAGGTTAGATGATTGATGTTGGATTTAGTGTTCTCTCTAGGTACTTATGAATTAGGTACTTTGAGGGCAGCGAATCACTACACACTATATGACGGCCGTAGCCAGAGGGTGTGTGTGTGTGTGTGCACTGCATGGTTGTATAAAGTAGAGTTAGAGAGAGAGATCAGTCATACCTGTAGTCTTTAGCTCCTATTATAGTGCTTACCTTTGGGCTTGTATGATTTGGGCTCCTTGTGGATGTGGGCCTTACTCAGGTCCATAACAGTTGCCCCTCAGCCCTGTATACTGAGTGCTCAGGATGCCGGGATGTCCAAGTTAGGCCACTTGATGTCTGCGTTTCACCCTGGATGTTGGCCATCTTGGCCTTGTCACTGTTTTGATTTAGACCTCGGCTTCTCAGCTTGGCCGGAGGAGATAACCGAGATTCTTCGGGCTACTCCAGATATGACTCTATCCGAGATGCCCTACCTGTAGTGTGGTACGACGTTTTCTTTCCAGAAACGGTTCCTCTTTCCTGGTATTCTCCAAGAAACGGTTCCTCTTATGCGAGAAACGATTCTCCTTCCACATAATAATTACATTTCCATGTGACCCTCTTCAACGAGTGCGACATGTAGTATTGCTCTTCCTCTGTCGTTTTTGCATTAACTTCTACTGCAAAAACGTCCCTCAATTGTCTTGTCTACCTTGAAATTACTTTAATACAGCCCTGCCCTTTGGCTTCGCGGGTTTAATCTTTTCAACTTCAGTTTTCTCATTATCTTACCATTTCAACTCTTCAGAATCATTTATCAGCACTCTTATCACTTATTGCATCTCCTTTTCGCTCACCATCCGCAAACCTTCTTGAAGCTTATTCTGCTCAGGTGCATTTATTTTCTTCATCGTTTTGCCTGCTTCTTTTTCTTCAATGTTGTCTCCTGCTTTGCTATTTTCTCCGTACACTATTGAATTCAGTCGCATGCGTATATTTATGACAAGTTTGATTCCATCATCCTTGAATCTGTAATGTGTCACATTGTTCTTGCATGTCTGGTTAAGATTTGCTTATTTGCACTGTATTGCTTATATGAGATTATCTGCTGCTTGTCCATTTCTCAACATTTCTTAGTTTGGAAATTCTCCTGGGATGGGTGAGAGAAACTTTACTATTCGAGGGAGGTTCACCTGCCCTCACATCTGTTGTCGTAGGGATGAAATTGATGCCGAGGAAGAAGAGAGACATGCGGAAGAAGAGGAAAGGTTTATCCAGAGCCTGCCTCCTGGTCTAAGGTTTTGGTTGTTTGGCAGACCTCGAACGGAGGAGGAGACCCAATCCGCCTTACTAGGAGGTTATTGAGGAGGTGGAAGTAGAGGGGCATCTTCATCTCGCCCTCCAATCCAAGGGCAAGGAACGGGTCTCCGAGGTGGAGGAGCATCTTTCTCTTGCCCCCCAACCCGGGGACGAAGCCGAGGTCTCCATCGTAGCTTAGGGATTCCATCCAGACGTCCCATTCATGATTTGGTTCCAAACTCTCTTCCTTCATATTCGACCCTCGCTCCAACTCGTAATCATTCTCTTCTTCCTACTTCTCATCAGAGAATACCCGTTCAGCCGAGTAATAGGTGTCCAGAACCTTGCTTCAATTGTGCTTACCTTAGTGCTCAATTTGTTGAGAAGGGAAACGATTTTATGGCCGACTTAGTGTTAGGAAGTTGTTCCCATCATCCTGGTTCATCTATCCCGTCTTCAGTTGTTGAATCCGATGACTCCTCAAGTTCTTGCAATAATAGCTTGTTTAGTTCGGGTACGTATCTTCTTTGCTGCGTACTTTTTCTTGCTTTTTAATCCTCCCATTTTGCTGTTCTAGGTATTTATGGAGTTCCCTTCTACAGAGTTAAACGTGGAGATTGCCTCCTCCAGCCAGGGCCGAGAGACCGAGGTGAGCCCAGCTGAGAAAGGTTCTGCCCCTGTTAGCAATGATCTGCGAAAGAATACCCATGGGTCACAGAAGAGGTTCTAAGATTTAGGTCTGGCATGTCTACTAAAGAGGTATCCGGTCTTCCAATTGCCAACCCCGTTGGGTTTAATACGTTCACTCCTGCAGATGACGAGCCTGTTTGTTCAGGACGGAACCCTGAAGAACCACATTCTTTCTTATTTTATCGTGACCTAGTAACGAAGATCGGAATCCGGTTTTCCTTTTCTCCCTTCAAGATACAGCTTTTGAATCACCTCCTCCTTGCACCAACCCAGATTCACCCAAATGGTTGGGCTTATATTGTTGCCTTCGAGCAGTTGTGTGCATCCTTATCTCTGTCTTGCACAGTTCCTCTTTTCTTGTATTTTTTTAACGTCTACACCCCTCGCACTGGTTCGAAACCTCCAGAGTTTAAGGGCTGGACTAGCATTCGAGGCCGTGCTAGTAACCCTTCTAGGAAGCTATTTTCTGTGTATAGCGATTCCTTCAAGGATTTTAAAGCTTTTTATTTCAAAGTTGTGGCCGAGGTTGGGGAGAGGCCATGGTTCATTGGTGATGACGATGAAGGAGTATTTCCCCTATACTGGTCTCAGGAGCATCATCTCCGCAAGTCGGCTGACTTCAAGCTGAGTTTATCAAAGGAGGACAAGATCAGTGTTAAGGCTTTATTGGCCCATGTGGGTTCAAAAGGCCATCTGAGTGCAGCCTCCTTAGTAGCTAGATCGCACTCCAATTTGGAACGAACTAGTATGCTCACCTTATTTCTTTTTAATGCTTTTGATGTCTTTTTTACTATTTTAATGTCGTCTTCTGCTTTCAGGTTCCAGCATGAATTTTGACATGGGAGAGGAGGATTTGGACTACATTTTATCCTTGATAGGTCCAACCACTGCCCCAATTCCACCGCCTTCGAAGAGACCAAGGACAGCCAGCCCTTCTGTGGCCACAACCTCTGCGCCTGCCTTCAACCTCAGCGTTTCAATATTAGACCTTATCAATGATTCTGAGAATCTGGAGTCTAATGCTAACCCGGCTTCACCAACTTCTGGTGGTAGAGGTAACTCTTATGCCGTGGCCTCCATCCCCCGGGGTGCGCCAGCCCCAGCAGCCCTTCCAGCTGGACTTAGGAGGGGTGCACTATGGGAGACGGGGGTCTCCTCTGAGCTTCGAAGTGTCGTTCTCCCTCCGGCTTCCTTTTCTGGCTCTGGGATTATATCCCGCGCCGAGATGGAAGATCTTCAGAAAACTGAGCTGTATGCTTTTAAAGCGGCATCGTTGTTGAAGCTGTACTTCTTGCTGCTAGATAAGCATTCTGAAGTTGTCGCTGAGTTGGATGCTCTTCAGGTTAACTATCGTAAGGCAACTCAAGACAACAGGAATTTAGCCAGCACTGCTGCCGAGTTGAAATCTTCTTTGGAGCAAGCTCAAACAGATCTGAAATCCATTTCCGACTCATTCAATCTGACAGCCGACAAGGAGAGCATTATCAACTATATCAAGGGGAAATCAACTGCACTTACGGAGGAGGAATCCAAGGTTACGACGTTGACTGCAGAGAATGCTAAGTTGAAATCTGACCTGCAGAACTTGCAAGCTGCTTATGATTTCAGTCAAGTCGCCATGGAGAAAGCTGTTGGTAGTGCCTTTAGGAATGCCGTCAACCAAATGCGGTTTTTAATCTCGAGGTTACCTTAAAGACGAACCAGTTGGATTGCTTTGGGTATATCCAGGGTGGGGTTTATGTTCCCCCCTTCAGTTGATCAGAATGTGCTTGAGGTTGAGACTTCAAATGTAGGGATCAATCCGGAGGTGGAGGCTGCTGGCCAAGAATTTGAAGCAGAGATGCGAGAGATACTGCATACTGATGACTAAGAATGAAGAACCGGGATGCCGGTTTATTTTGTAATTCTTTTGAATTTTCTTTCAACATCTTGGAAATTATTTTGAATTGTATTGAACACCTTATAGTCCGTCATATGATGTTTTAATTTGGATCTGACGCTGTCACAACTAATGTTTTGGAGATTAGCTCGGCTTGATTTTTTCTAATATTTGTCGTTTTAAACTACGATTCTTGCTTCTTTCTGCAAGAACCTTTTAGAAATTAAGGGTGTGCCCTTATTTTCCAATATGTTATACCCCGGCTGAATTTACGTCTTTGTAAGACGGATTTCAATGCCTCAAGGTATTTTTATTTCCTGGCTAGCACACACGCCCTTGCTCATTTTGGCAAGGCAGGTTCTAATACCTCAGATTTAATTCTCGGCTAGAACCCACTATCCTTTCCACTTGGGAAGACAAGTTTCAATATCACAGAGTTGTTTCCGGGCTAGAACTCACGTCCTTGCTCATTTTGGCAAGGCAGGTTCCAATACCTCAGTTTTAATGCCTGGCTGGAACTCACGATCTTGTCCTTAGGCAAGACGGATTCCAATACCTCAATTTTAGTGCCTGGCTGGAACTCACGATCTTGTCCTTGGGCAAGACGGGTTCCAATACCTCGGCTTTAATGCTTGGCTAGAACTCACAATCTTGCCTTTGGACAAGATGGGTTCCAATACCTCGGACTAGAATTAAAAACACATTCTTGGAAGATGGTCGCTTTATTCAATTATTCATAACTTGAAATTCCAACTACAATAAGGAAACTTAAAATTTGTTATTCTTTTCAACTAAAGTATTTCTTCAGCTTGTCTGCATTCAATGTCCTTCTAATACTTTTCCCTTGCGGAGTTTCCAACACATAGGCTCCTTTCGACAGCTTTTCTCTTAGTTTGAATGAGCCCTCCCATTTTGGGGCTAGTTTTCCTTCAGCTGCGTTGCGACCTCCTACGTCGGCCTTGCGGAGAACCAAGTCATTCACTTCGAATGATCTGGGTTTCACCTTTTATTGAATCGGCTTGCCACAAGTTTCTTAGCTGCAAAGTTTCTACAATGAGCCATAACTCGGGTTTCATCTATTAGATCTAGCTCCACTGCCATCTTTTTGCTATTATCCTCCTCTGCTTGTGCTAACGCCTGAACTCTTCTCTAGGACGACTCTCCTACCTCAACTGGAATCATTGCTTCGCATCCGTAAGTCAGTATAAATGGACTTTCCCAGTGGATGTCTGCATCATTGTTCTATATCCCCAAAGTACGTAGTACAATTCTTCTACCCACTTCCCTTTGGCAGATTGTTCTATCATCTTCTTTATTCCTTCTATAATGACCTGGTTAGCTGCTTCAGCCTGACCATTTGTCTGGGGACACTCCACCGATGCGAATCGATGCTGGATATGGAGGCTCGTCATTAGCTCTTGAAAAGACTTGCTTGTAAACTGCGTCCCGTTGTTAGTTACCACCTCAGCCGGGATACCAAACCTGCATATTAAATTTCTTTCAAAGAAACGTTGTATCCTAGCCAAAGTGATGGTAGCTACTGGTTCTGCCTCTATCCACTTCGTGAAGTAATCTACGGCCACAATCAGCCATTTCAATTGTCTTTCTGCAACCGTGAATGGGCCTAAAAAGTCCATTCCCCATTTGAAAAATGGCCATGGAGCCGTAATCAAGTTTAATTCTTCTGGGGAGCTAAGAGGTTCTTCCCATGCCTTTGGCATTGATCACACTTCTGGACATGCTCCTTGGCATCATTATTCATTGATGGCCAAAAGTATCCAGCTCTAACAGCCTTTCTAGCTAAAGCTTTCCCTCCAACATGCTGGCCATTTATGCCTTCATGTATTTCAGCCAATACATATTGTGCCCTATCCGAGTTTAGGCATTTTAACAATGGTGCAGAAACCCCTTTTCTGTAAAACTGGTCTTCTAGCATGGTGTACATAGCTGCTTCTCGGACTAACTTCCTGGCTCCCTCTTTTGCTGGTGGTAGAGTCCCTTTTTCCAAGTATTCGACGATGTCAAAACGCCAATCATTAACGTACGTTATTTGCATAACGCAGGTGGGTTTTAGGATGCTTTGCTCAACCACTATCCTATGGTTCCCTCTTCCTTTTGTACTTGCTAGCTTGGATAGTATATCAGCCTTGCTGTTTTCATTTCTAGGGATGTGGTTGACTTCTACTTTTTAAAATTCTGCCATTAATTGTCTAGCCGTATCCAAATATTTTGTTAGCAACGGGCCTTTTGCTTGGTAACTACCTAAGATTTGGGAAGTCACTAATTGCGAATCACTGAAAACTTGCAACTTTCGGGCTCCAAGTTCCTTGGTTTGCTGTAGCCCAACTATAAAAGCTTCAAACTCTGCCTGGTTGTTGGATGTTGGGAAGCCCATCTGCATAGAATATTCAACAGCTACACTCTCTGGATTTTCAATGATGTCCCCAGCTCCACTGCCTTTAGAGTTGGAGGAACCATCAACATACAGTTTCCATGTATCTGGGTTGTGTGAATTTTCACTTTGGAGTGAGGTGAGCTCTCTAACAAAATCTGCCAGCGCTTGTGATTTGATTGCTTTTCGACTTTCAAATACTATGTCGAATTCTGACAGCTCCACAACCCAAGTCATCATTCTTCCTGCTAGGTCAGGTTTATGAAGGATCTTCCGAATTGGCAAATCCGACCTGATCACAATTTTATGTCCTTGGAAATATGCTCTGAGCCTCCTAGCCGAGATCAACAATGGAAATATCCCTGGAGGAGACGACTCACAAAGTAGATCGACTGCTGTCTCTCCTCGTTTTCTAGTACTAGGACCGAACTGACAGCAACATCACCGACAGAAAGATACATTATTAACGCTTCCTCTTCTCTTGCTTTTGTTAATACTGGTGAGGAAGCCAGCTGTCTCTTAATCTCTTGGAAGGCGGCTTCACACTCTGAATTCCATCCATATTGCACCTCTTTTCGGAGCAACTTAAAGAAAGGTAATGCCATTTCTGCAGATCGGGGTAAAAATCTAGTGAGGGAGGCTAGTCTCCCCGTCAGTTGCTGTATCTATTTCTTGTTTGCGGGGGCTTTCATCTCCAGCATGACTCTACACTTGTCTGGATTGGCTTCGATGCCCCTGTGGGTCAGCATAAAGCCAAGAAATTTCCCTGCAAGAACTCCAAAAGCACATTTGGCCGGATTCAACCGAATGTTGTGTTGTTTTAGCTTCTCAAAGGTTGCTTCCAGATCTTCAATATGCACCTTTGAGTCCAATGACTTAACTATCATGTCATCTATATATACCTCAACACTCCTGCCAAGTTGGTCTGCAAATACTTGATTCATCATTCTCTGGTAAGTGGCCCCTGAGTTTTTCAACCCAAAGGGCATCACATTGTAGTAATAGTTCGCCTTTTCTACAATGAAGGTTGTTTTCTCTTGGTCTTTCGGATGCAATGGGATTTGATTATACCCCAAATAGGCATCCATAAATGACAACATCTGGAACACGGATGAGCTATCAACCACTTGGTCTATGTTAGGCATCGGGTATGCATCCTTAGGGCATACCTTATTCAAATCAGTGTAATCTGTGCATACTCTCCATTTTTTATTTGGCTTCTTGACCATTACCACATTGGAAAGTCAGGTTGTGTATTGTATTTCCCTGATGAAGTCTGCTTCCAACAGTTCCTTCACATGATCTTTTAGCACCTGCCATCATTCCGGGCTAAGCTTCCTATTCTTCTGAGCTACCGACTTAGATCCTAGGTACACTGCTAGCTTGTGACAACAGAAAGTAGGGTTTACCCCAGGAATTTCTGAGGACTTCCAAGCAAAGACGTCCTTACTGTTCCTTAAACATGTGATAAGTTGAACTTTTACCTCGTTCGCCAACCCCTTACCGATCTTTGCAGTTTGTCCCTGCTCTCCAATGGTCACTTCTTCTAATTCTCTGTCGGGTTCAGGCCTCGGCATTTGAGTATCATCCCTCATGTCTAATTCCACCATGTTGACCAGAGTCTTCTTCTCCTAGCTCGAGCCGCTTTGACTGCTACTATTTTTGACCCCAGCTGAAGGTTTGGGATTGTTTTCCACCGCCCTAACGGATTTGAAATAACAGTCTTGAGACTTCTTCTGGTCTCCGGCAATGGTAATCACTGTGTTCTGCTTACCAATCATCTTAAGTTTTTGATGTTTGGTGGAGACTAACATATCCCAATTATGGATGGTCGGTCTTCCCAATATCACATTATACTTTGAAGGGAAGTCAGCTACAATAAACCTTACTCTTCCAGACTTGTACGCCTCTCTGGTTCCTAGAGTGAGCCTGAGATCAATATACCCTTTGGGGATGGTGTTACGGTCGTTGAATGCGATCAGGGCCGTGTTGCAGGGCTTCAAGTCTTCCTCGTCTAGACTCATTTTTTTGAACGCCTGCCATAGGATTATGTCGGCACAACTGCCGTTGTCCACAAATATCTTCTTGACTCTGCAGTTGACTAATGTTTCCGTAATAACTAATCCATCAACATGTCCTGGCATCACATCCTCCAACTCTTTCTTGGTGAAGTATAGTAGTGGCGGCTCTGGTTCAGCTTCTTTAAATTTAGGTCGCTCCCGAATCGAAAGCACATCTTTTAAATATTTTCTTCTAGCATTCATGGTGTCACCTCCCCCACCAAAAGCCCCACTAATTACATTGCATTCAAACTCTGGCTCACAAATTCATCCTCTTCTCTGGCCGGCTTCTTACATCGACTTTCTTCTTTGAATCTTTTCTCTCTTGGCGGACTCATAGGCCGACCTCCTCTTCTTTTCCTATTGTTTTTTCATCCTTGAGTCCTTATCAGATATTGACGCAGCTTTTCGTCCCTGATATACTTTTCAATCGCATCTCTCAGATCCCAGCATTCATCAGTATTGTGCCCAGGTCCATCATGAAATGCGCAATACCGAGATTGGTCTAACTGTAACCCGGCTTGGTTCAGCAAAGACCGGGGTCTATCTACCTTCTTCATCTCTGTGGAGGCTACTTCCCTCCAGATTTGCGACCTGGATGAATTTAAGGGTGCGTACTTCTCAAATCTTCCCCTAGCTGGAATTTTGTCATCTTGTCTTTTACCCCGGAAGTCATTTTGCTTTCGACTTCCAGGTTTCTCTATTTGGTTAGGATGGTGCTTCTGATCCATATTCTCGATCTCCATCTGTTCAAGATCTAGATACTTCTTTGACCGCGCTGTGAACTCTACCAAAGTCCAGATTGGGTCTTTGTATATGGATTTGGCCAACCTAGAAGAGCCATGCAATCATGCGATTACCAGGTGCAGATGAACATTTTCAGACAACCCTGGAACCTGCAAAGCTGTCATTTTGAACCGGTCCAAATATTTCTGCAGGAATTCCCCAGGTTGTTGTCTTATTTTACCCAGCGCAAACTCTGATTTCGGCTGTTTTTTGCTAGTGGCAAAATTCAGCAAGAATCTTCCACCGAATTCTTCAAAAGATCTGATGGACCCCGCTAGTAATGATGAAAACCATGTTTGAGTCGCTCCTGTCAGCGTAGTCGCAAAGAGTCGCGTGATCAAAGGCTCTTCTATTCCTTTGATGTACATGGCCGTGTCGAAGGCATCCAAATGCACTTAGGGGTCCTGCGTTCTGTCATATTTTAGAAGCTTTGACAAATTCAGATTTTCTGGAAAGGGTGCATCAACAATCTTGTCCACGAAGGGACTATCATTGTATTGCCCCCTGTTGTACTTTCTCCTGTAGACCCCAGATACGTCATCCAGGTTTCTGAACGGATGTCTGTTATCTAAAGGCTAGGGATTCTCTTCCTGCCTCACTGTAACTCTTCCTCCACCCCGGCCTTCTTGAAGCCGAGGTTCCTGGTTACGAACCGGGTTAAGAACGACCCTTTGAGTTCGGCCATCAGCACTTCTTGCTTGGGCCCGGGTTCGATCATTTTTCTATTTGGGATTCGTGATCCTCAGGTCGGTCATGACCCTCGTCATAGCTTGTGTAGGATCCGGGTTAGAGACTCGCCCTAAAAGAGTTTCCAAATCTCGAATTTTCCTGGCACCCTCTTGTCTTTGGAGCTCATGACTTCTCTCCATTTCCTCCATTCTTCGAAGCACCGCAGCGACAGCCAGATCTGTCACCCGCAGATCGTTAGCTGCACCATTTGGGATCTGCGTGGCATCTGCAGTCTTCTCCTCCATTGGCTGTAGCCCTTGCACGTATGGGGCATTCGGATTAACTGCTGAGGTTGATGCCGAATCAGAGTGCATATCACTAATGTGCACGGCATCGGTATTTAGCTGTTGATGATCCAAAGGATCCTCCCTAATCGGAGGAATTGGCTGGTGCCTGGAATTCGATCTTGAGGGCTGTCAGTACCCACTTCTCGTCGTCCTCGCTACTTTGGTCAATGGCTTCTAACCACGTGATCGTAGAAAGGGTTCATTCCCACAAACAGCGCTAATGTTCTGCCTGAGGCAGAGATGTCTAACTCGGAGGTTAGATGATTGATGTTGGATTTAGTGCTCTCTCTAGGTACCTATGAATTAGGTACCTTGAGGGCAGCGAATCACTACACACTATATGACGGGCGTAGCCAGAGGGTGAGTGTGTGTGGACTGCGTGGTTGTATAAAGTAGGGTTAGAGGGAGATCAGTCATACCTGTGGTCTTTAGCTCCTATTTATAGTGATTACCTTTGGGCTTGTATGATTTGGGCTCCTTGTGGATGTGGGCCTTACTTAGGTCCATGACACCTCTCTTTATAAAAATTTTTGCCTTCGGTATTTGATCCTAAGTTCCCTACCATTAACTGGCTTTATCAAATAACTACACGTGGTCATTGCTTCTTTAATAAGGGACTTCGCCCATTAGATAGGAACACAGACAAATGTGCCATATTTTTGGTATTTATATATCAAACTATTTTAGGAACAACAAAATATATCAAACTGTGATGCATTGAAGTTCATTACAACTGGTAGAGAATTTGATGGCCAATGATTTCGTGACATGTGACACACTTTTTGACTGGACGAAGTTCGCTATAAGTGATAATGAACTTGATCGCGTGACAGTCAGGTTTTCCTGCGAAAGTGTGTCACGTGTCACAAAATCATTCCCCACCAAGTTTACTATCAATATAACGAACTTCAACACGTAACAATCTGGTAAATTTTATTGTTCGCGTGATAGTTTGGTAAAGAATTCCCAAAAATGTGACAATCTAGTCATTGTTCCCATTAGGTATGGATTTTTGAAAATTTTATGTTCATTGCTTATTTTATTAATGTTAAATTCTCATCCCTATTTGTCAAAGTAAACCAAATTATTTCAGAACCTAACAAAAGAAAAAAAAAATCAAACATTTGACCAACAAATTCTGAGTAATTATCATTGGATTACCACCACCCTGGTGCTGTCAATGAAGTAATCTTGGAAGAAAGGTATAGCAACAATACGAATTTTAGATGTCTATATTCATTCCCTTGAACTTTAATTAATCAAGAAGCTGTTGGATTATTTCTCCTTAATTAGATACAAGTTCCAATGCATGGAAGAATGAAAATGCTTCATGGGAAAATGAAAGGACTTCATGGGAGAATGAAGAGTTGTATTGAATTTCTCCACATTAAATGAAGAAGAATTTAGAGCATTGAACATATCCCTCCTAGCCATCTATAAATAGAGGAAGAGATGAGATCAACAAAGTGAGGTAAAGAAACCCTCCATGAGAGAAACAACCCGACTGAATACCTCTAGGGAGAAGTTTGAGTGAGACCTCTCTAAAGAAGTTTGAATACCATCATTGTAGGTGATGCTTGATTATTTTAGAGTACCTCTAAAGAGATGTTTGAGTGTTAGACCTCTTTAGGGACGTTTGATGTTACCACCATACTTGGTGAAGTTTGATTATACCTCTAGTGAAAGACTATGGAAGTTTGATTGTTGTAACCCATTATTCTTATAGTGAAAGTTTGATTCTGG